TGTTTGGAGAGGGGGCCCCGATTTTGGAAGCATTGTTTTGGAGTTTGTCAAAAAAAGTCCGGCCATCGAGTTCACCAACAAATGTAATATGTTGTCTGGCGCGTGCAAACATCGACAAAGATAATCTTGAAGAGCATTCACTGCACTTCAGGAACATACGCAAGCATAACGTATGCATTGGGCGGGGTCGACCAGAGGTGGTGCTTATACTGCATGGAGTTCTACGGGGTTCCTCCTGAATGGCAGTAGGCTGATATAGCTTTTCTCAAGTTACAGTATGTGATACGGCTGGGGATATGCGGCTCAAATGAGTGCTACCTCGGCATGATATAGTGATACTTGTGCTCGCGTAAGGATATTCTTGCGGTTGGCGGGGAATAGAAGGAGTGACTGTGCTTGGCCTGACAAGGGATTACCTCACGAGGCCAGAGGGAGAGAGAGAGAGAGAGAGATATATATATATTATATGTAGCTGTTGCTCAGGACAAGAAGCAATAAATCATGTTTGTAGGGTGGACCCTATCTGGTCATTCACTCTTGGTGCTAGGAACTATAAACGGTCCTCGGGCCCTGCGTAGAACTTTTTTATGCAGTCCACCACTGGAAGGCGGAATCATCCAGGATCGGAGTTACACAGTGGCTCTGCTTGGTATTGCGCAGGTCGTCGCCAGATCCTGGATCGCTCTTGGCCTCGGAAGTCTCAGAAGGCCGGGTTTTTACAAGATGTCTGCGGAGGCGTCATGTGAGCAGGCCTCATGCAGTTGGATAAAATGTCTTGCAACAGCCGAATGTCATATGCGTTTGGACTTTTCAGTTTGGCAGTGCAAATCAGCAGGCCGCCTTTGAAAAGCACCCTACAGTAGTAGCACAAAGCGTCGGCGAGAGCGCATGAGTTCAGTCGCTGCAAAATAACTTCACGCGCGCTTTCATTGCAGCGGATGCCCCCTTTCCTCCTAGGTGTTCCTTGAACTCCCTCCATCTGCTTCTTTCAGCATATGAGACAATTGAAATTATCAGTTGCAGTGGCCCCTGACCCACAATGACTACACAAAATTGCCATCGACTGCATACTGTGTGGTAATGGTGGGTTCGTCTTGGGGATCTTGCCAGGCTTCGCCAAATCCGACAACGTCACGGTCTTCCTAGGTGGAGGCTAGGCCTGCGATGCGAATTGGGGGTTTAGGGCTCAGTATTTTGTAAGGTCCATGAAGTGCTACGGGTTTAGCGGCTCTCTGGATTGTTTTGGATTTTGAACAGGCTCTATTGATGTTTACAGAGACAGCTCGAGTTGAAGGAGTGGTTGTGACATCGGGAGATCATGACTCGTGCCAGGGAACAAACTTTGCTTCGTGCAACAGCCCCGAATCACGGCTCACCGGCGTTTTGCATTTTTTGTAATGGGGCCTGGGGCGTTGTCGAGTTTTCCAGGCCTCATGCATAAATTGATTCTCAGGCTACGGTTTTGTATTTTGAGTACACAGGGAGCATGCTTCCCCTGGACCGCTCGTGTGTGGTGTTAGCATCCGCTAAGGGTACGCAGTGTCGGACTGCTGCAAACTTCTTTCTCTCATACCTTGAGACTCTTGCCCTTGAGCTTAGCGCTGAAGGTCTGCAGTACATCGGCCAATGGAATGGCGACATCCGCGAAGGCAGTGGTAACCCACGTTTCAGATCCAAGGACATTTGCAAGATGAGATGCTTGAGTGCTCGGGAGGCAGTCCTTCTAGACTGATGCAGTTAGGTCTTGGGATGCTTCGAGCGGGATACAAGATGATATAAGCTTTGTCGGGACTCAAGTTGAGCTTTGTTGATGACGCTGAAGGCTTAGTGGAATATCGTGATCCTGCTTTTGCCTTTGCATGTGGCAGCGCGCTATGCGGAAGGATCGCCCGTGGAAAATTCAACCAAATGGCAAAATTCTTTTGACTCCAGGCGCATCCCTTGGTCCAGGTTATAAATGACTCTGAAGTGCGAGCCTGCACAGAAGTGGGTAAGATTAGCCCGAGATTCTCTCCACAACTTGTGCTGCAACCTCTTCAGAGGCATGGGCATTCTCCTGCGCCCGGACAGCACTCGCTACGAGGGACAGCCTCCTGGCAAAACTCTACGAGCAGAACGTTGTGGCCAACATCAGAACAGAGAGAAGGCTCACCTCAGAGTGACCAGATAATTATTCAGATAATTGCAAGCAAGGTTGTTGTTGGTGCTCAATTTCAGGCAGGTGCGGTGCACAGCAATTGTGGAAAGTTGTGGAAAGTTGTGGAAAGGGGTTTGGTAGCAAGGGAAGGAGGGCTGCAAGGCAGCGGGCTGGGGAATTGCAGACCGATATCTGAAGCAAAAAGGAGGAGTGGAAGAAGTCTGTCAGAACAGTTGGCAAGAAGTAATCAAGAAGTGGACCACACAAGTGAGACAACTCCCTGGTGCTGCCGGAATGGATGGAGCACCAGTCACCCGTCACAGCACCCAGCCGTCCCTGATGACTGCCGATAACGTACCAAGTGCTTGCAAACATTTGCAAAGCTTAGAGACAAAACCCTGGAAATTCCAGTAGGTCATGAAGCCCTAGCTGCACGCGAAAAAAAGTCCTAAGATCTCTGCCCAGCGTCAGGTTTCAAGACGACATGGCGCAGCTTTGCTGAGAGAATTCCACGGTATGATTTGTTGTGCTACTTCGGCTTAGTCCTCACGTTTGGACGTGGTGTACTTTGCGGGGTAATTCTGGATTCTGTGCTGTGGCATGGGATGCTTGATGCACGTTTCACGCCAGACTCCCCAAATGCCACTGCAGTATGCCTCTCAGCACTATAGTGCATCTTTCCGGTCTTGTACTTTGAAGATGTCGACACGCCGGCAGATTCTGAGGGACCTGCTTTTTAGCAATGGAGTTTCGAAAACTCGGAGAAGAGAGATATGTCCTGTGCATTGCAGCATCGAGGCATGGAAATGGCCGACTCGTAGCGGCCAACGGCGATGTCTACGACGGCGAGTGGCGACAAGATAAGGCGAAGAGCCGACTGACGAAGAGAAAGTCCCAAAGCCACAAGCGCATTCATGGAAACACCGGCCCTTCGTCAGCGCCCCCATCTCTCATGTAGTAATTCAGTACTTCGCCCTGAGTGTCTTGACCAAGGACGTAGCTGAATCTGAAGTTGCTGTTTGCTCATTCCAAATTTGAGGGCAAAGATTTAGGCTTGCCCTCGGACTGACATGGTGCTGTGTTTTTTCGAAAAACACAGCAGTTCTGAAGATCATCAGATGCAGGCTCACTGACACTTTCCAGGTGGTTTTGAATATTAAGAATGTTCAACATGGTTGTTGGACACGTGAAAAATGAGTTGAACTCCGCAGCCCACAGACCAAACCCGCACTACAATTTGGTAGTACGCATGCTGTTTAACATGTATGCGCAGCGACAAAGGTAGAACTGAGTGCAAACGAGCATGCCTCACTACCACGACAACTACAGTACCGCGACCACTACCAGAACCACGAAAACGACCACAACAACGACAACGGCAACAACATCACCAACCACAACCGCCACAATAGCCACAATCACAACCACAACGACCACCTGAGTATGAGCACAAACAACTGACAACCGATAAATGCAACAGCTATGACATTATCAACAGCTGTTAGAAAAGAAGCCGTTATAGGTATGGTCCACAACAGAATGAGGCAAGAAGCGCACATGTTTCGGGCTGCTCAGACTAGCTGTGGCCCCCACCATTGCCTCCAAATGCTCCTGCAGAGGGAGTTTGCAACATCTTTCTGTTCAAAAAATATCATCTCGCCCCAAACCCAGAACCCATCCCCACCAAGCCTACCAAGTAAGGAGGACTAGCAGGGATGAGAGGAGTGTATTGCGGATTTGGGTTGAGGAGACTAGAGTTAGGGGTCAGGGTGTCGGTCTAGGGTGACATCCTGCACCAACGTAGATTTCCGGAGCGAATGTTATTCCCAAGACTTGGAAGTCTTGAGCTGGCGCCGACCTTTAGGGTTGAGGGTGGCGAAGTGGCTGGCAAAGGGCTTGGGTGTGGTCAGCGGGCGGAGGGGGGCAGTGGTGCACGCCCTCGCGTCATGCAGCACACTCCCGCATCGGCCCTCATGACGCCTCCGTGAGACTGTGGGAATGCCCATGTTGGCTAAGTCGGGCAAGGAAAGACAATCCTTTACTTTCTCTCAAGCTCTAAACCCTAGACCTTGGCCGGAGGCCCATGGCTTTGGTCGCCTCACGCAGAAGTCGGGACAGAGCCCGCCAGCAATATTGTGGATCTCTTGAGTTTTAGGCCCTAGCAAGGTCTCGATTGGTTTCTGGGATTTTCCTTGTATGCTTGGTAGGGTGCAAGGTTTTGCAAGTTGTGCATCAAATTCTTGACTGTGAGAGAAGAGCTGTCTCGTTGTTATATTTCCTTCTTAGCAAGTATTGCATGCCACGAGCTTGTTGGGTTCAGACCGTCAAAAGCTTTCCAAGTCCTGCCTGAACTATTTGGGCATTCTAGCTTCGCCTGTCCTCTACTGGGCAGCTTTGTATTGGGGCTCCCGGCCATGGAACTGTGCGGCTATCATCCCCTAAATGCACTAACACGAAAATCAGCCCAACAGTGCAGCAAGCACAAAACGTGGAGAAACTTACGGGAAATGGACAATACCTATGTAATTAAGTAGGGAACCTTTAGCTAAACCTCTGCGGGCATCCATATGCTGGTATATGTCTCTGGGTGTGTCCTACATTTGTGAAGGGACTGATTCTAGTCAGCGGTCTACATTGCAGAAGACAGTAGCACTGCGCCTAATGTTGCATGTGAGGCCTGGCTACATGCAAATCAGCAAACGTGGGGTTCATCTTTTGCATGCGCTGAAGTTGAGCCATAACTGCGCAGACTTTCCATGAGGGTAAGTGCGTTGCATTGTGCTTGATGTGTTTGTGGCAAGAATTTCCGTGAAGGTAACAGCAGCTGATAGCTGTCACATCCCTGTAGTCCTCACGATTCAAGGCTACGAGGGCCAGTGGGAGTCAGACTTGCAGCATGGCTATGGTGACCACCTCAGCTTCTAAAGTGGCGGCTTTCGTTCGGATGCTTTCTGCCAGAGTTCAGCACAACGGATGACTTGGGGCTTTAGGATCCTCAATGGAACAGGACAGTAATTAGGAGAAGGGTTGTTTTTTTCTGCAGGGCCTGCCCTCTGATGTCTCCAGGCCTCGTCATCCTCAGTCTCATTTGACGAAAATCACTTCTCAGGGTCTTGCATACACGAAGCTCTGCGCAAGGCGTAGAGCAGTGGGCAGACGGCTCCCGATACGAGGGGCCGCTCGGCTTGCTCTTATGTTTGCAGCATGTTAGGAAAGCGTTGCAGGGTTCAACAATCCGTCCGATATAGCCAGCTCAAAGCAGCTTGTCCATCCTATTAGATATGGAGTGCATGAGAGGCGCTGAGTTTGCCGTTCGGGACAGGAGCCCGACATGAATAGCGCGGAAGTGCTAGGTGAGGAGTCAGGACAGTCAGCGCCTTCAAAGGTCACTGCGTAGTGAAGCAGTTTTCTTGGCTAATGAGAAGCTGCTAGGTGCTATGCCAGCAATCTCAAGCATGGCCAAGGCAGGGGCTACACGCAGGGTTTGCTTGCTGGTTGGTAGTAGGGAATGGACTATTGCCGTAGAGAGTAATCGGTTTCCATTGTGATTCCTGCATTTGGTAGCAACCAGAATGCTGCGGGTCTAGGGCTTCGCCTTAGCCTGGGACATTTCAACCACAAGAAAGAGAAAAGAGGGACATGTCATGTACAAAACTGCGTGCTTGAATCAGGGCTGCTCAAGCAAGGGTCTGTCCCGCTTCGCTTGCACACCCACCCCAAATCTTGGGGGCACTGGGTGGGGTTGCAGAAAAGTGTGGGGTGCTGTGGGGAGGTGAGGCTCACGTCCAGGCTCCCTTCCTCCAGAATCCTCTCCTGACCACACTGATTCTAGACCCACTTCCGTGCAAAAGGCACATTTACTTGGGCAGCTGGCTCCTCGTACACTGGATCCTTCGAGAAGGTACGAGGGACTTGTAAGGCATGGCATGGACTTCACTCCGGAGCATAATCCTCAGTTGTTGCAGGGTAGGTCGTAGTCACTACGTCGGATTGAGCACTTTGTGAGGCTGTGCGACAGGTCTTCCATGTTAAGTAGCCGAAACCCATAGTCCTTGAACAACAATCTTTCGCTCTGGACCCTTCCCTGATGGCAAACGCAGGACGAGATACATGGCATTGGCTCTTACAAGTGGACAGATGGACGAACCTACACCGGGCAATGGCAGCACAACTGCTGTCACGGTGGCTGAGCTTCATCCGAAACTTTGCGGGGGCGATGCACGCTTTGTTGTCGCATCATCATGTAAGCCGTCTTGTTTTGCAATGGTTGAATTTTGCGCAGATGCGCACACCTAACTGGCTTCCCTTGCAACAAGTTGAAGACCCACCATTGGTTGAGCAGCTGAAGGCAAGATAGATTTAGGCTGCCAGTTCTATTGATCGGGACTGTACGGGGCCTTTGGAAGCTCGCGCTCAATTTGGGCCGTTTTTGGTTGTTGGAAGGTGTAATTTGCTTTGTTGCTTGACTTGAGCTCACAGTCGTCACTGGAGTGCCGCTGACTCATCGGCTGAAGCACTTGCAATGCGAGTAGGGGCATAAAATGTATTTACTTTCCGTTTAGATAATTGCAGAGTGACGGCTGAGTGTAGCAGTGAGGCATCACTGGGCAAGGGCAAAGAGCCGATCGATCAAAAACGCCAAGGACGAAGTAGGAACTGTACCGTCGGTTCTTCCTGCCTCAGAAAAGTGTCGGTGTCCCCAGTAAGTGGCCCTGGTTTCCAGGGTACAAAACTTAAAGCACAGGTAAGATGTCTTTGAGCGACAAACTGAACCTTACTCGGCCTTACCCGGGTCACTAATTGATTCAATCTTCGATCAGGTGTTGGGGACATGCTTTGGCCAGATGGCCGTGCATACCATGGCTCCTATGTCCCTCGGTCAAGTGGTGATAGGACTGGGAACGACACAGTATGGTGTTCATCATGGCCTACAGCCAATTCAGCTTTAGACAGGTTACAGGCTTCAGTGAGTCCTGCTAGAGATGCGAGCCATGCCATCCTCTCTGGGGCCATGCATCTGACTTGTTTTCAGTTTGAGCGATGCCAGCTCGGGACAAGCTTGGGAGATTCGATATGTCCTGCTCTGAGATTTTAACCTGCCCTTCCAAGGAGTCAGACAAGAAGCACGGAGAGGGCTGCTACATGTGGCAAGATGGCCGCCAGTACAGCGGGCAGTGGAAGGACTCAGAGAAACTGACATGAACTGACACAAGATGCCTGTCCTTTTTCGTTATGCCCCTCAAGCACAGCCACAGAGAGGGAAATCACGTCGGGCATCCACAAATCCCGACGGATGTGCTCCCTGCGTTTTGCATTGCCTGGCGCAAGACACCGGCCACATGTGGCAAGCATTGGGAACGTGCTTTTCCATCACGGCAACTACAGCCACCATCATCACCACCCTCCGCCACTACGCTTCGTACTTTTTTGCTGACCTTGGACCTTGACCCCAAAGCCTCTCCCGAGCATCCCTGGAGGAAGGCAAACAGCATGGATTTGGCAGATACCTGCTACCTGGCCGCTTTGGGACGGGCATGCTGCTCTTAGTTTTTTCGTACCAAAGTAATGTGGAGCGGAGCAGCTCCCATTTTCCAGGCAGAAGCATACGCAAGCCGCATGTCTGCCGAGTGTCGTGGTGGCTTGGGGCGTCATTCCCACAATCCCAACCCCACACAGCACGCATTTCAACAAAATCTCAAAAAAGAAGCTAAGGAATGGAGACGGCAAGGCTTGGCATGCTTGCTGCAAGCTCCGAACTTTGAGGTATTATAAGTATTGCTAGGAGAAATGCATCCTCCGACATCATGTACCAGCAGGGCAGAGTGGAGGTATGCCCTGTAGCCAACAGGAAAGCTGTGGTTGTCGTGATGGTTCCTGCAAGGCTATATTTAGCATGCTGGATTGACATACTAGGGTTCTAGGGACAAAGGTCTGCGCAAGGCAAGTCCGAACACCTCCAGCGGCTTGCCTTCTGCAGTCCGTCCGCCAAAGATAGAAAATGCTGTGAACGAATGGATCCCATCTACAATACCAATATGACTTCTGCACCACCCCACATAACCCACAACATTCCCAGCGGACGATCCCTTTGCACTGCTCTCGTAAATGCTTTCGACATTAACATCTTTCGTCGACAGGCGCGGGAAGGCGTCTGGCAGCGCGGGCAGCGCCTCAAATGGTTGGGAGGAGAACTCCCAATACAGATGAACTTATCAAACTTGTGCAGAGGCCCAATAGCGCCGGAATCGCGGCTTCCCTCATTCCCCTGTGCAGTTTGCAACATACGTTTGCACGTACACATTATATTCTCCATGGTTACCATTTACTGTCAAGTGTTCTGTGATTGTCATGGTGATGCTAGCTGTCACTCTCCAGGATCTGCTTCCCTCCTCGCAGTTCCCTAAAAAGCATCTGATGAACGGAGAGCTTAACGTTTTGTCTACTTCTGCAGCCTGATTGTTCTTCTGCTCAGCCCAGCCATGCCTATGGACATTCGTGCTCGGGTGGTTTGCTTGTGTAAAGGCATTTGACGAGTGGCCACAATTAAGCCTGGTAAGTTTGGACATGATCCTCCAGGATTTTGCCCGTCTTGAAAATCTTCAGTCAGTTGGCAGGAGAGCGCGATCCCAGAGAATCTGATGGTTTTCTGGAGAAGAAAACGTGAGGACTTGGGTCCAAAGCTGTTCAACTCTCGATTTACCGGTCTCAGAGGAAGCCTCAGGTGGGAAGTTACCATAAGAAAAGCTTACAAGCGCTTTATATACCCCCTGTAACCATTTGTGTTGCAGCACGCCTTGCCCCTTTTCAGCCCCTTCACCTAGGCACTCCCTGCTGAAACTGTGCTTAACTTTACGCTGATAGAGCACCTCGTGCGTGAGCATGAAAGTGCTGACAAACTTAGCGTCTCCTTACAGTTGTTTCGTCCGCCCGAAACCTGGGCGGACTGCAGTCCTGGCGCTGAAGACGCCAGCCCCTCGCCAAGGAATCCAAAACATACGCAGTTTCGCATTCACTTCCTTGTCTTGCAGCAGCAAGCACGATTCTGAGCCCGAAAATGAGGGATCCCCATATGTGTCAATCCGAAAAAAAAAAAACTCAAGGTTTCGCAAGTTTCGGGCCTTACTGTTGTGGCACCCTTCTGTTTGTTTGAAGGTACTGTAATGTGAAATTGAAAAAGGCACAACACTTAGCATTTGGGCCATGGATCTGGACTCAGTTTCAGAGCACAGCTTGTGGAGCCTTTGCTACCTTGTAGAGCTGTTGCTTCGAAATTGTTTCTGATGGACATTCATGCTGGCACTGCTTCTGACGATGTGTTGACCGCGCGAGCGGTCCGTTTGCAGGTGCCTTCATGCGCCGCGGCATGCCGAGATTTCTTAACGAAACAAAGACCCAACACATGTGGCAGAAGCCAAAATGCGTGTGCTGCTTTGCAGAAGCTGGATTGTGTCATACGGTCACGGTGGTAGTGCACAGCATGGGTCCGAATTGAGCTTTGTTTTATGAGCCCTGTGACCCGCATGTCCGCCTTTTTCTCTTCAGCTGTAGCATACTTGGGACCGGTCCGTGTGTAGAGACAGGTGGCGAACTCGAAGTTAGCCTCCCCACCTGTTTCCAACCATGGCCGGGACATTCATGGGTGGCGCCCCATACGGAGATGAGACCGTGGCACTCCTCGATAGAGTGCAAACCAAAGATGACTTTCATGCCAAGAGGTGGCGATGCTTGTCGCACCCCACCCGTGCATTTGAAACCTTATCACCAGTGTCCATTCTTGAGATCGGCATCTTGAATGCGCGTGACCTTGCCGAAAGAGAGGCCGGCTTCATGCGCGCCGACACCACATCAGATGCCTACGTCCAAGTAGTGCTCGATGACCAGGAGCTGGAGAAATGCATCACACCAGTTGCTAGGGGGAAAAAGCAGCCAATGTGGCTCTACCACTGCGAAGTGGATATTCTCGCTCCTATGTCGATGCTTCGCTTGCAGGTGTTTGACGACCAACCAACGGAGAAGGTGGAGATCGGCTTCGTGGACATTTGTGTAGGCGACATTCCATATGATCAGCCTATCGAGGGATGGTTCGAGTTGCGCTTCCAGGCGGGGCCCTTTACATGGGGGAGCTGAGCGCGTTGATAGTCAGGGTGCAGCCATTGCCTTGGTATAGCGCCTTCATATAGAGGAGTTACTGTGGGTGCACCTCAGAGTCTGGATTCTGTTCTGCCTCTGAGATCCTTGCGTGAAGGGATCCTATGGTTCCTTAGCACGCGCATTGGTTTGACACAGGTTCTTGTGGGGCATGGCGTAGATGAACAGCGCAGTCATGGCTGTAATCATGCTCTCCAGCTGGTGCGACTGTCAGATATGCATAGTTGCTTGGCACCTTCCTTTGGATAACCGTGATACCCCCTCCCGAAGCCTCAAGTCTTTGACAAACAGAGTTGGGGAGGTTTTGCCGTGTATTCCTGAAGTCCGCCCAAAATCTCGGTGCTCTGAAGTTCCGGTGGTCCACTTGTCTATAAGTCCTTCTCAGACCCCATGAAAGGGAACGATTTGGGGTTCGTTCTACAAAGCTCATCCGCCTCGCATACTCCAGCATACATGCCCCTCCGTAGTGCCTCGCAGGCTACCGGCAGCGCTCTAAATCTTAAACACTTCAACCAAATGCGGCATCCGTCCCAGATCGCATTGTCAAAGAGGTCGCAAGTATAAACCCGAGCCCGAATTCGAACACGAGCCATCCTAAACCCCGACGTCAGGACAACTTTCAATCCACAAGCGTGGACCGCTACCTCCACCATTGTGAGATGCGCGAGGAAACGGTAAGCCAGCGCGAGCTTGAAGAGGAGATGGCTAGCTTGCTGATTGATCCTTTCCCTGTTCCATCTAAGATTCCCTCCCACCTAGTAGCAGCTTTTGAATATGCACGGAACATAAGTCGGGCTACTGGAGGGAGCGGGAGTCCAAGTTTAGCGGGAAGCATATATGCCACGAAGAGAAACCGCCTCGTATGGTCAGAGCGCTGAGACTGGTCGTCGTCATAATTACAATGGCAATAACGGGAAAGACACATGCAATAATAATAGCAAGAATGATGATGGCTTCAGGGTAGCAATTCAGGTCCTGGATGAAATCTGGAACTTTATTCTAGCAATGAGTGCAAAGACAGCAATGAAATTTTCTGCAGCTGTAAGCAGGAACGGAAGAAGAAGATGAAGGGGAACCAGCCCGCTGACCCCGAAGCATCTTCGCAGCACAGGAATTTCATAGAAGGGGCGCCTAGATACAAGTTAAGGCTTTTTGGTGCTTGACACCTAGTTACTCATCCATTTCCCTTCCCAAAGCTTTTCAAAAAATAGGTGGGTGTTCTGCAGAAGTTCAGTTGCATTAATCAATTATGCGGGAGATTGCACTAGTTCCTGATTCAGCAGGTGGCACAGGGAGTTTTTTCCTTGAGTTGAAGGCAGCAGCACACCGTACCCTGCCTGTGTAATGCAATTCAATGAAAACCTTTCTATCCGCGTGAACTCTGCTGCCAGTCGATGACCTTCAGTTGTGCCAAGCTTAAGGTCGGCACAGATGGGAGCAACGCAAGCCCCGACCCCAATGAGAAGATTGTGATGAAGAAGCAGTACTTTGCCTCCAGCAAGGAGTTCTCAGCCTTCTCGCAGAGTGTTAGAAAGGAGGGCCAAGCAGAAGATCACACAAAAGGCAGAGTCTGTTCGAACTCAAATCTCAGCTTGATGTTCCTGCATTCCAGGCGCCCTGCTTGGCACTGCCTTGCTGACATAAGAAAACAACTCCGTCCTCACAGAAGCAGCTAGCATTTCGTAATAGCGCAACAACTGCAACAACTGGACTAGACGTCATTGACGCCCCTGGAAGGAGAGAGCTATGGACGCCTTCCAAGCTTGCGTTGTCTCCACTGCAGACCGTGCCGAGGAAAGCCGGAGGGTTTCTTTACGACATACATAAGATTCTGACTGACGACTCACGACGCGAGGAGTCCCCTTCAGGACATGATAAGCGTTAGGACATGATAACGAAACCCAGGGTGTTAATTAGGAACTTTACATATCGTGGCAGTCTTTGTAATCGCAGATAGCGTTCCTTTATTATAGCCCTAATATGGCAGTACTGCAGTGCATGCCAAAACGACGTAAAATTGCCGGCTCTCAAGCAATGAGCTGAAGTTTTTGTTGCGGGAATGGTTTTGAGAGATCCCTCAGGTTTCAGGGATGTTCAGGGTGAAAGTCTCGCATTGAGAGGTCAGGGTGCATGAATCACATTTGGGCCTTGGTGCACTTGCTGGTTGTTAGCAAGGAATGAAGGAGTGGAAAAGAACATGGAAACTTTGTAATTACAGTTCGTTTTGGACTATAAGATGTCTAGCTACCGTAGGGATCTGTTCAAGTGCAGGGCAAAGGCATCAAGAGCTCTTCTTGGCGCATTCAATGCAATACCTATACCAATCCGATGAACATGATGCTTCACAAAGGGGCAGAGAGATATACACAGATACGTGGCGGTATAGGGTTCAGAGTTTAGACGATACATACTCCCCCAAATCAGCATGGAAGCCACAAACAGGTGCCACGAAGAGACCGTGTGATGGGGCCCACATCTTGTGCGTTTCCATGCTTGTTGGCGGAGAGTACCGGTCTCGATTCGACATCTCGCCATTGGGAACCTCCGGTTATAGGTGTGACTTTCCAAGCCCTTTGCAAATTACAAATTTCCCAAAGTTGATTTCAACGCCATTGGAACTCCAAGACTTGCCTCTGACATCCATAGTAGCCCCAGGACGAAGACGGCCCACAAAGTGTTCCTAAACCCTAAACCTTCACCTTAAACATCCCTAAGCCACCACTTTCCCAAAGCGCTTTTGACGGGTGCACCCATACACCTGCATTTGCCGTGCGCTACTTTACCCTGTTCGGCAAATACAACCACCTAAACCCAAACTCTACTACCATCAGCTTGCACTGCGACGTCGGATTTTGAGACTGTAGCCCTTCCCTGCCAAACTCCGAGTCCGCAGGAGTATGGCTTCCAAGCCCTCAGCGCGAGCCTGAAGGAGGGCACCAAGGATAAGTACCGCAGCAACAACGGAGAGCTGCACCTGGTCACGGTTGTTTCTCAGGCCTTACACTGTCCACAGGGATGTCCCAGGTGATTAATTACAGTACGAAGATAGAGAAGCTACAGGATGAATTAAATTTGCGAGCATGATGCTCGAATTCTGGTTTATGAAGGAGCGGGAGGCGACTTTCTTACCGCTTTTTTTGCCCGCCATGCTTTGAGAGCCACACCCTAGACCACAGGCGTGTGTAACCTGTATCTGGACAGGAGGTGGAAGTATTGCAAGGTTGGAGCTTAAGCAACCAAGTAGAGCAAAGTTGTCTCTGGACCGATATCGCAAGCGCTTTAGGCCAAAGTGTCTGGAAGACCCGCAAGCGATGAGAAGATTTTGTGACGTGTAGCAACGTATGTATTTTTCAGCCGCCTTCCTATGCGGCAGATGTATGAGTGTGGGACCATTGCAGTCTTCCGAACGATGTGTGCGAGAAATAAATCCCGGAGCAAATCTGCCACAAGAGGGTTGTCTAAATTCCCTTTATAGTACGTATGTGATGACAACCCTCTTTTGTCTTCAGACCTGACGGCTTGAAGCCTGGATTGACCCTCTGCAATGTAAAGGGCCTCCCAGCGCCCAAGGTATGCCCCTCATCATCCCAAAATTATCGGTTCTTGGTAGGGAACAAGACAGTGTAGAGAGGTTATTTTCCCTTCTCCCTTAGTGATTAAGAACCAGTAAGCCAATCCCACATCCAAGGTATGTGTCTCTGAAGCTGAAGAACGTAGTGTCCAGCTCCGACAGCCTCTTCGCCTTGGCTTCCTGTCCAGTTTCGGACTGATCATGTAGATGTCCTTTTAAGGATCCCTACACACAAAGGAGATCAAAGGAGTGTAGCACCCCAACTGCAGATGCAGCGGCCTCAGAAGACAACCCCTGCTTTCAAAGTAATTATGTGGGGGTGTGTACGTTGGATTTGTATGTGGAAGCGGCACCTGAGGTCTCTACAGTAGCGGCTATGTATGTAATCCCCGTTCAAACAGCAGTTTCCCTTTTCGGTTCCATTTCTTCGTTCCCTGCTAGCAACCAACAATAGATGAATCTTGGGAAGGGGTTGGAGTGAAGTGGGGTGGTGGATGGGGGGTTCCTTGCTAATTAACTTCCAGAATCTTGACCCAGGCTTTTCTATGATAGCTGACCCTCAATCTTCCTTTCTTCAGAACCCGGCTCAGAATCCAAAACGCGAAGGAAAGTCTGATCCAGGGGTGCACCTCACAGACACAATGCTTGGACTTCCTAGCTTTGTGCTTCGGCCAGAAGAGTGTGGAAACCATGTCTGCAGCTCAAGGCTTTGGATGCGCCGCCGCCGGTCAACCGCGGGATTCGGGAGACTACCGAGCTGAAGAGGACTGTTGGTTTAAGATTCCGGGGCGGTGGTTAGGGGTTCAGGTTTCGGGGTTAAGGATTAAAGGTTTTAGGGGTAAGGCTTGGGCTATTTGGAGTCACGGGCTGAGGTTTTAGGAGTGAGGGTTGTAGGAGTGTAGGATGAAGGGTTAAGGCTTTCGGGTTAGGGTTCCTTGGCTTAACGGCTTAACGGACTCTAGGGCTTATGAGTGGCCTTAAGCTTAACTGAGCTCTGCAACGGGAATGTAGATTACGGTCCCCTTTGTGTTGATGAAGTGAGGACACAATGTTGTCTAGGGTGTAGATGGGTGGTCTTGCAGAGGATTTGTTTTGTCGGTTGAACATACGAAGAAAAGATTACGGGTTTGTGAGTCCCTTTCTTCTTGGTGATACACCAGGAGTGCATAGACGACCTCAGAGGGTTACACAGGTAGGCACTTTTGAGTGAATGGCGCTTCTCACGATGATGGCTCTTTTTTTCTATTGGGCATTCATAGTGAGCTGAAGTACAAGGCTATACAGTCCTAAAGGCAGGAGTACTTCATCTCAAAGTATGTCTAGCATTCCAGCGGGTACCGCCATGCTGCGAAAGACCCTCCCCAGCTTGATCTTGTTCTGACTGACGCAGAAAGTTGTAGGAGGACTCGTAACTAGAGCAGAATGAATTTGTGCGGAGCTTGTTGTGCGCACTCTGGTACGAGCCCTCGCAAGGTAATGGCGGGCAGGGAGGGGTTCTTGCCCACTGAGCATTGTGCAGGACGCCCGACTTGCAGCAGTGCGCGGATGAAGTGTGGGAGGTGAAAGTACAGTTGCTAGACGATGCTTTGTGGTGTTGTTTGTATGGCTTCAAGTACCTCATCAGCTGGCGCTGCTGGCCCCTCTCCCTTCTCTACCTGATTGGTTTGCTCCTGTGCTGCTACAAGTCGTACTGGTGGTGGGCCATCATCCCCGCATTGTTGTCAGTCTCCCTGGTCATAAATTCCTTCCCAGAGCAGCGCAAGAAGATGACCCGGGGAGGGCTGAATGCAGACTTGACGGAAGAGGGCTTCAAGCACACAGCAGCCTGGCGCAACTCAGACGAAATCCACACCTTTGTCGGGCGCTTGCTCACGGAAGACATGAAGGCAAGGCTGGACAACCCGCGTGTCAACTCCTACAAGTTGCGTGCCTTCGCCGCTCAGTGCATCCGCGACGGCGTGCCGACGGTGTCTTTGTCAGAGTTACGCCTCGCACTGATGGCAGCACCTTTTGTAGTTGACGCGGACAACGTCCCAACCTTTGCACTCCATGAGCACGTGTGGGTGGATGGCCGGGATCGCGGTGTCATCACAGAGCTCACCGAGGTGCCCGAACGGATCACCGTCGAGCTTCAGCCCACATTGCTGATCCCAGAAAAACGCGCAAAGGTGGTCCACCAGCGCCAGCTCACCAAGAGAGGAGAGAGCATCGGCAACCTTCCCAAGTGGGCCACCGACTTGGTGATGTCCTCAGCCATGGTGCAGATCTATCCTCCGCTTGAGGGCCTCCGCCTTGGCTTAGTGCCAGCCATCAGCGCGGTGTCGGACATCCTCACCTGGAAGAACTCCAAAGTCGCTGTGCCTTGGCTCCATCATAGACACCAGTTTGATCAGGCATGATTAGGCGATTGCAGCAGGTAATGGGCGTGCAGTCCTATAGGCCTTAGGTCGACGGTCATGTAGATTTTCGCCAGAAACTTGGTCTCCTTCTACATCCTTGCATTCAAGACAATCACTAGTTTCGAGGGAGACCATTTCAGAGATTGGGCTTTTTGACGCATGCGCATGCTGATTGCTTTTGCACTACCATGAGCATCAGCTGTCGAATCTGTCGACCTATTTTCCTGAGAGTTGTTGCACCTCACACCGAGCTGCCAGACAATCCTGCTCGTCGTCCTCATCGTGATCTCCGCAGTGTTCACTTGGGCGGGTCTGATGTCTCTCGGAAGCAAAAGGATCTAAATACTACTATTCAAGAACCCGAGATGGAACCAATCGACACGCCGCACAAACAATGCCATTTGTAAGCATGAACTTTGGCCGGAGATGAGCACGACAGGAGACGGAGAGAGCGTCTTCTCATGCAAGTTTGGGACAGCAGGGCTCGTGCCATCCACAGATTGTGCGAAAACAGGGCTGAAAGCCTCATTGTGTGCCTAAGTAGAGTAACGTGTTTCACGTGGAGGCTTCCACAGTGGCAGTAGTCATTGGACACAACTCAGAATTCACTGTTGGCAGCCTAAGCCCATGACATTTCCAGGGATTGAGGAAAAAGGCTGGCTGCCATGCAGTGCTATTCGAGAAGCAGGGAGATAAATATCTGATGGGCCTTAATAACGGCATGAAATCAGATTGAGTAGAGAGTGCTTTCCTGGGAAGCATGGTCACTGATATGATCGATGCCTGGCATGGGTCGTCGGTAGTCTAATTCGATGTACAGGCAGACCTTCGGGCTCGAGGAGGCAGAAGAAGAGGGAGACAGGGACAAGGGGCGAGAGAGGCAGAGACAGGGCAGATAGGGATGGAGTTGTTCCTTCTCCTTTGGATTCAGGATGGGGCTCCAATCGAAATTTGATTCGATCAACATCCGATATTTTATTTATTGCTCGGAATATGCGTGGCGTGGCCAGCGCTGCAAGCGCCTGAGCTACTCTCGAAAAGCCCTTGTTAATAGTCAGTCAGGTGAAGCCTCGGGAGGGAAAAACACCTGAGAAAAAGGTTGGCCTTGCCCAAGGAGCTGTGTACCTGCCCAGGCATGTACTGAACAGCGAGCAGAAGGGAAACATGTCCCACAGCCAAGAGGTGGTCATCCTGGTCCTCAGGAGACGCAAATTGTTAGTTTACTTTTGTTGATTGCATTTTGTGGGTCACGCTCTGTTTGCCCCTCAGCGAGCAGCGGTGGTGTCAGTTGAGGAAGAAACTTAGGATATTCCCAGCTAATCGTAATGACTCCTGGTAGAAGTATTTGGTGGGTCCTTATGATCATCAGAACACATGCGTAGCTCCTGGGACTTCAAACCTCAGAATTTTCATTCTGGCAGGAGCCTTGACAACTCGATTGCAGCAATCGTCACCATCGTGCTGTTCCTTTGTCAGGCCGGCTGCAGAGGCATAGCGATGTTTGTTCGAGAGCGGTTAAAAGTGACACCAGTTACTACAATTACGAAGGCTCTTGTGCTTGAAAGCCCTGACTCCAGAAGCCCCAACCCTCGTCCACACCCTCCAAAGCCTGGGTCGTTGCCAACAAGTAAACATATGTGTAGGAGTTTCTGAAGCGAACTCACCGGCAAAAAGCATAACACTCTCTTTGTTGGAGCCGTTGTTACATGAATGACCCAAACAAAGTTGGCTGTTGCAAGGTCAATGACACCCACAAATGATTTAGGATCCTGATCCTTGACAGAGACACTACAGTTTTGGACCACGAAATCTATCATGCCTCCGAGAAGGCAACCCTTTCCTTGGGAACTGCCGATGAAGATTCTGGATCATTGCTGGGGACAAGGGAACTGTCAGAGTACCTGTGGGGACCCTATATAGATCCCACACCTTCGACCTAAACCATACAGCCTAAACCCAAGCCCTATAAACCACGTGGAGGCATGGTGGATGACGCACTTCTCCGCCTTGATGAAGATCATGCAGCGGCGTGGGCACAAGCTGCTGATCTAGCTTCAGTACCGAGAGATTTTGGGTTTAGGCTTTAGGGGTGGAAGAGGATCAGGAACAGCATAGCAGATGTTGCCCAATGTCACGATGGTTTGCAGAAAGCACGACGTGGGTATCCCCCCTCTCATATGCCCACAACATTTTACAGCCAGCAGCATTATGAGGTGTTCAAATTTTGACAATTGCTCAACGAGGAGCCCTTCTGCCAAATAATTTACAGGTCCCTTTGCAGGAAGTGTCATAAGGCGGCCCCATAGAGACCCTTAGCATACTGGCCGATCACCGAAGAGGATCATCTGATTGCCTAGGCGCACGGCTCCCAGCAACTGGGCCTTCTTCAAAGCCGACAAGGAGCAGCTGGAGATGCTGAAGTGCTTCAGCTGCTTTAGTGGAGGAGCCTGAGGAATACTTTTGTCTGAAGAGTTCTTGAAAGGCTGTATACAGCACACTGTAACTTCAATAAGTTGTTGGGCAAGTGTGAAGATAACTTGTCGTGAGATGCATATTGCCTATACTGTTTCCCCTGTTTCCTCCACAGTACTCATATTGGTTCCCAGGGTTGTTTTAAGTTTCGTGCTTCAGGGCTTCAAAGTGCATTCCCACGTAATTGCATGAAGACAATGGTGCCGACGCTTGCTTGGATGGAAGCTTCACTTACAGCCTAGGGCTCTCAGCTATGAACTCTCGCTGTGATGATCGCCGTTCTTGGAGTGATAATTTTTACAAGAAGATCAAGAAATCGGGATGACCGAGTCTCACATGAGTAGTCTGGTTTTATGGATACGCACGATTTCCCCCAATACAGAGTAAGATTAATTAGATTGGGCATAGTATGTTATAAGATTTTTTTTGCTCTGTTCAACAACCAAAAGGCACTCCTCACATGATGGTTTTCATGTTGGAAGCAGTCACGTAGTAGCAATGGCAGCAGCAGCTGCAGCAGCAACAGTGCGGAGGGGAGCATGCTGTAGCAGTAGTCGTCAGCATAGAATGCACTGCAAAGTCGTTGCAACAATCTGCATGCATGCTAATCAGCCTCGACTGGGCGGAGATAGGTAGGACACGGTTGACTTGGAGTCCTCGTTTTCACGCTGCGGAATCCAGTGTTATCTTTGAGAGGTCAGCATTCAAGCCAACGCCATCAGCCCTAGTTGCTGTCATGGCCAGCTTTGCTTCTCCTTGCAAGTTGCAAGCCTGCTGCGAATCAAGGAACCTTCTGCGCAAGGAAGAGGAAGAGTACCCACACGGTATGTTCCACCTCCCACACATGAGCACAGATGCCAGCGCAGCCTATGCTGCGCATTACAACCGTGTATCAGATAAGTAATGCCTGGGGCTCCACCGCCTGCATCACTTGGATGTGGGGCCGCAGGTGGTGCTACAAAGGACACGAATAATGTTTTTGCCAGGCAGACTTCTTCACAAGCCCATGGCCATGGCATGTGCACAGATGACCTACTGTAAAAATGTTTTGCCTCAACTTGGGTGAAGTGCATCATTAGCACCTCCTTAGCCAACAACAGTGGTTGCCTGCGGTATCATTCTTCTACATGATGTCCATGGGCCCGTTCCGCGTTTAACGCGCTGACCTTCTCAGTCCCAGTCAAAGCTTTGAGGTTTGATCTTGACACAGGAAATCTAGTTCTTATTCCTCGCTGTGGGGTTTGGGTGTTCAAGATAATTCAAACAGCCGCTAATATGTGGCGACCGTGTCACCCTCATGCTGCAGAACTGCAAGAGGAGAGGAGAACTTAGCCAAATCTAAAAGAAGCTGTCAGACGTGGTGACGCGGTGGTTCAGCATCTGTCGACTTGTCTTGATTTGGAAGCACGATATGCTACATAACCCCTACGACCCTTTGAAAGGATGCCAATTAACGATTACTCATGACAGCTCTATGCCAGCATGGGAGTTTAGCCAGCACAGCGCTGGTCCCCCCAAGCCACTGAACTTAGGATTTTTGAGTTGCATAACAGCTACCTTCTTAGACGCAAGCTGGCAGCTGACATCTGCTGCGGCTCAAGGGGCGATTTCTCAGATGAAGCGGAGGAGGCCAGCCCGTCAGTGCACAAGAACAGCTAATGATCCAGAATCAAATGGAAAGAAAGTGGACAATTGAATGGAAATCTGGTCGGTGTAGGGGTTATCTGGGGATATATGGGCTAATACTTCATGCAGAATCACATGGCCAACAAAAAGGAAGCCGGGAAATGGGTCGCCAAGTGGCCCATGGAAGACGCGCCAGTCTGGAGACTTCTCAACCCATGAATGCCCAATGTGAATCCTCATCATTGCTGAGATCCTGGCCGTCCGCGTCATGAAGCAATGCGCTGAAACCCTACAAACCACCAAAACAACTTCAAATAGCCTGTATGGCCCTAGTCTGCGTTTGACACGCTAAGCTACTACTCGATCCTCTTCAAGAAGTCCAGTCCCACCTCAGAGAAAGGCCTTGATTTCAAGGGTCGTGGTAAGACCGCGGTTTGTAGCCATGGCCCCTACAGCCAGCGCTTGGGCGACGCATGTGGAGCTTGCCCATGAGGCGTGAAATCTCCTGAGGTAAGCTCACAGGAGTGAATGGCTTCTGGCCTGTAAAGATGAACCATTGGCGTTATTGCTGTGAAAGTTCGCCTTTGTTTTCTTGACAATCCTCACGGGAGACCGTGACATGAAAGGCAGAGGCGTGCTTCATATCCGGCGCAACTGGTGGATATACACACAGCCCTGGCTAGACTTAATTTTCGGGAGCACGTCGGAGGAAGATGGAGGGAGCATCTCAACAGTTGGGCTGTACAACAATGATTCTTCACACATGGGGAGGGAGCCAATCTCGTACTCTCAAGTATAGGGAGCTGTACTACAGCATGGATGCGAAAGTGGCAAATTTACATGCCTCTTGCAGCTACTCTAATAGACCTGCATTCTATGTACATCCCCAAGTGTTCGGAACCTACCAATTATGCATGCTTTATCGGGTCTGCCCTTTAACAGCCTCCATCCTTTGAGAAGAGCTATCTTATGATTAGTGGTGTGCAAGCGAATGGTCAAGCAATGTAGCTTAGCAAACAGCATGTTACAGTGGAATCTAGAGTCTAGAGAAGCGGTATGGAGCTGTATACTTGCTGAAGAGTTTTGATGTAACTGTAGGCTCCCCTTCAAATCAAGAAAAAGGCTTGGGAAACCATATGAGCCAAATTCCCCCCTTACGTGGTATTAAAATCATAAACTCCACCCGTGCCATATTCGGACGATCTTTTTGGGGGGCAAGGGATTCTGCTGGGCTTTGAAGGGTCCAGCAGTTCTGTGGACCATCCATTTGCTAAGGTAAAGAGCACTTTAAAGTTTCCTACGCACGGTACTTGCTTTATTCCCTTCCCATTCATCCCGCTTTACTGACTAGCAAGGACAAGGCAAGCCTGAAAAGCTTTGGGCTGTTAAGCTGCGCAGGGATTTGAGTAGAGAAAAGGGAGGAAGGCAGGTTTTGGAATCGTATGATGGGTCCAAGCTGTTCATATAATCAGACGGATTGTTTACAACAATGAGCTCTAATCCCTCAAAACATGTTAATCTTAGAGAGAGGCTATAAGACAATGTCCCATGTCTCTTTATCATAGGGAACTTGCTGTCCAAGACATTAGGATCCAAGCTAGGGAGATCCTCCCCCCCCAAAAAAAAGAAACCACAATTCCAAGAAGCATTCGATTCTTTGCTACAAATTCCCATCCTGGAGGTTGCTGGTGAGCCCTTGAAGCCTGGGAAGGCTCTGGGCCTTGAGGTGCTTCCAGATCCCATTGGCCTTCTGAGGTCCGGCTTGGGGTGGTTTAGGGCTTTGGTCCTGCAAAGTACTTGCATTCGGAGTCCTCCTTAGTTCGACCAGGCCTGAGTGCCTTTGGGGTTTGGGGGTAGGACTCCACAACACTACATCCGCAGTTGTGCGGACTGCAGCAGACGTCAGCAAGCAAAAGTTGCGGGCAGGTTGACTTCTGTTGCTACAGGACAGTGTATTGCCCTAGCCTGCTTTTGTGCTTCTTTTTGCTCTTCCTAGCTCCTAGCTATCCGAGGCCCAGCGGATCACAGAGCTCGAAAGCGATGCTGGGTTTTTCAGGGAGCTTAAGCTGTTGGATTATCTCTGGCAGCTCGGAGAAGAAAGCATCAACTGCTCTTGTGCTTGAAGGTTACGATTTCAACGTTCCAGTATACATCGGTTTACATGATCTCCTTGGGAGTGATAACCTAATGTCCAGCGGGAGGGGCCAGGGCAAATTCCTTACCAAATAGGAAAGCACTTTATTGCTGCCAAGGCAAGGCCCCGCAGCACAAGTATTCATGCCCAAGCACAGAAGACTGAAGGGCATCTACCGTTTAAAGGTTCTGAGACCCGAGAAGCAGCAACTTCAGCTCGGAAGCTTTGAGCCCAACGGGCTCTACATCCCTCCTGGCCTGATGCATGTAAAGTTGTTGCGATACCTGGCCTGTTGCCGATAGTACAATCCAGGCCTCTGTCCCAGGTTTTGTTGCAATCTCGGAAGATCCCAAATATGAACCTTTTTCCTTCCAGAGACGCTGACATCTCTCCGCCAGGCTGAACCGTGGGGTCCCAGACTGCGTTCGCGCAGCGGCGAGAAGCGACGAGTTCTGCACCGTTGTGCAGGACCGGTCATGTCCAAGAATTGAAAGGCCTTGATCCATGGTGTGTAGAGAGCATGCAGCGCCGATTGCAATTTTGTCTTCTGGGGAGCCCATCATCCCGGCATCTCTGCCATCAAGCGCAAAGACTGCGCCGGAAACTATAGCTACCTCTTGACTTTGTGTAAACCATAGTTTGTCCAAAGCAAATGCACAACTAAAGCACATGAAAGCAGAAAAAGATGCAACACCATGCCCAGGCCAGAAATCATGAAAACACAGTAGTTGGGCAGGCAACCTCCAAAATTGGCAAGCCCAAAAAAAGAAACCACAGGACTATGAAAGCCAGAGAGACGAGCAAGCTTGCTGCTCTTTTGCCCTATTCTTGCTCCAGCTTTTCATGTGCCAGCACTTCGTTGTTTCCTCGCTGTTTTGTGTCATTGGCGCTTTCTTCTCAGCTGAGTCAATGCAATACATATATTGGAAAGGCCAAAACATGCAAAACATGTGAAACAAGAAATAAACCGAAACCAAGAGCAATACTTGAAACGCCAGGCGAAGACCAGTGAAAACATAGCGAAGAAATACTCAGGCTCCGAAAAGCAAAAGCGATTCACACAAAAGCGAGCTTGTTTTTGATTTTGTTAATGCTTTTGTGCTTCGTGAATGTTCATGTTTGCTTGTGGTGCTGTTGTCATTTTGCTTGATTTGTTGTGCCTTTTCAGTTGCTCCAGGTGTCCCTGTTGTTTTTGCATTTTAAAGATTCCTTGGGATTTTTAGAGGAGATTGCAGTATATAGCTTGAAAGCGCCGCCGCAAGGCAAAGACATGCTTCGTGTGCCCAGTCTGGTTTGGAGCCTTTCTCTCAGCCAAGTTCTAGCTTGCGTCCAGGCGCTTGAGATATCCTTTGTGTGCTGTGCGACTCCTGTCATACTTGCAGCCTGTACTCGAGTGTAGGAGCCTGGTGCCGCCACCGCTTGGGTGCCGAGACGGGTCTTTTCAAAGGAGCTAGTGCCATGGCTGGCAGTGTGACACTAGGAGTAGCTGGTAGGGCCTGCTGAGTTCCAAGGTTTAGCCTGCGGGAATTGCGGATTTGAGCCAAGTTGGAGGGCGGCTATCGAAAGAAAGTTCTGTTGTACGTATGGAGTCGCATGGGAACTGCGAGCTTTCATAGAGACCACGGGTGGAAGGCGAAAACATGCGGACATGAGGATGGAACCTGTGCGAGTTGGTGTTCGCGCGCTTGTGAGGTTGAAGGGCTATAGGGGTTGAGGGGTTTGTGGATAGAGTCGAAGAATCAGGGCTTTGAGATTTTAGGAGTTGGGAGTTCAGGGTACCGGTGGAAAGTTGTTTCTTTCTAATTAAAGATCAAGTGGTTTAGGAGGCGGGGTTAGGATTGGTTCTGGGTTTGGTAATTCGTTAATTAACTTCAAGCACTAAGTCCGCAGGAGTAATTGGATCTTATGCAGCAGACTTCAAAATCTCTTGTCATTCGGCAAGAAATCAAGAATTAGAGCGCAGTCCGTTTCCCCCTTTACCCTTTGCAGGATACTAAGCAGCTGCCATCATTTTAATTGTGTCATGTAGAAATTCTGAATACATATACGTGGCAGCTTCCCCCCATAGGGGGATCCCCACATAGACCCTGAAATACTATGATCCTTATGATGGGATCCCCCAAAAAGGTACCCCTAATTTGGGAAATGCATAATATGTGGACCTTGCCATCTCAATGCGGCATAGCCAGGTGCAGTCGGAGGGTGCCGAAGAGGCGCCATTCTACTTGGAAAGTTGTCAAACGTAGGGTCCTGATATTTGAGGGGCCACAGTCTTGACAACACTCCCTTCTCGTAACAATGCTGTGGCTTTGTGTACTTCAATTCGTGTGGATACCGTTGCACCAAAGTACGATGACATTCATGTTTCCGGAGGGGTCTTTTTTGCTTCTCATTAAAAAGGCTGCGTGTTTCTTGCCTTCTTTCGTTGTCTCTAGGCGATCATTCCAACTCCTCATAAGACCCCTCAAGATGGGTTGGCGGCGGATGCACCTCTTAGGACCCAACAAGCAGTGTAAGTTTCAGGGAGTTCCCAGGGAGCCGCATACCCCTTGATGGAAGAACATTGTGGAAATCCAGCTAGGGACCCCAGCATAATCTAAGGTATGTTCAGCAATTAACGCGTTTTGGGCTCTTTAAGGTAGGCGGTGCTAGATTTCGGCTAGCCGTAGCAGCAGGCAGCTCTGGATCCAACACATTCACCTGCCTTGTAAGTGGAATCTTTCTCAAACTGCTAGGGACGAACACAGGCCCACAATTTGGGCAATTTACCAACGGCAGACAAGACATGTTTGGCTGTGGGCAAGGTTGGGAGAAATGCCATTAGCGAGCCTGACTCATGTGTGTTAGGGATTCGGGGGTTCCCAAAGAAGGGGCCCCTGTTCGGCAGTGCCCAGAACGAGGGTTGTAGCATTTGAGGTGTTTGCGTCGGATTCTCTGGGCCCAATGATCCTTCCTGAAGCATGGGAAATTCTTTTGGTAGTTTCCCTAAAATAGGGGACCCCAATATAGACCCTAAAATATTATCGTCCTTACTATGGGGACCCCAGAAAGGTACCCCTCATTTTGGGAAACCCCCATATCCGTTTAGAGGAATCCATGTCTTGCACTGATTTCCCCGCATCAGCCATGTTCCCAAAGCCGAAGAGAAAGGCTCAAATCCCGTGTCATGCTTTGCAGGGCTTCTGCCCTGGGCCCATGTTGCAATTTATCCAAAACTGGCAGCCTCCTTTGTCGCACTTGTAGCAAAACCGAAGCCACGATTCCGAGACATCCCCATGTGCCCCTTGCTTTTGACTGTGCCAAGCTTTTCTTGCCTCATCCCTCGCTCAGCTTGTGTTTGTGGTTGCAAAAACTAGTGTGCTTGTGGTTCCCCACATGTGTAGGCTTGAGTTGGGAAGGACGTCTACGGAAGTTAACAGAAAACATTGAAAATTGGATTCTTCTGTTTCTTGGCTACATTCGGGGTGTGTCCAAACATTCCTCACACTCCAAGTCCCTTCATTTAGTCTTTAATCATCTTCCCTCCAGCCATTTTTTAACAAGAGTTGCCACCTTCTAGTCGGAAGACTATTCTTACAGCTCCATGTAGGTGGTGGCCACGCTTGAACTTGCTCGCAGGTCACCCCGGGCCAGTCTTGGTGCGCCCTTCGGATCGAGGCCCGGACGTACCTCGGCCTGGACCAGGACTTGATGAGTGAAAGACGCGTGAGGGTTTGAGGTGATCGGGATAGGCAGTCCAGCATATGAAGATGTTGGGTTGTGGCGGCTTCCAACACTTCACTCATGCATTTGCATACTCTGCGCATGGCAGCTTTGGATACAAGCTGCTCGATGATGAGTGCGCCCTTTCAGTGGGATTCAGAGGGTCCTTGCTCCCCTGAGCTGGTATTGAGAGGCTGATCGGCCAGCTTTTCAGGTCAGAGGTGCAGTCCGAACCCGTCCGCCACGATGATTAGACAGTCTAACCACAAGATAGCAATAGCCGCGGCAGATGCGTTTTGAGCATATATTCATATTTCTTCATGGTGCTGGAAGGCCAGCATGCAGCACGTCCGACTGAACTCTGGCCGAGGCCTAGCAGTTTCAGCCTCGCAGGGCCTCTCTTCAAGACGCTTGCTGCGGGCTCCATACGAGCCCGGCTACTCTCAGTCTTGGGCCCTGCGGCTTGGGCTTCAGGTTTGATGCTTTTGAATTTCAGGGTCGTGTTTGGCGTTTTTGGGCCTCAGTGTCCTTGGTTTTTGGATTTTATTCGATGTTGAAAAATCAGCCCGGTAAAATGAACTCATATTGACTAGCATCTCTCATTCTCCGCCCCGCTCCTCGAAAAAGATGGATTTGCTAAACGTGCATGCGCGGGGGCTTAGACTGATATGTACAGCAGGGAGCCTGAATGATTACACCGCAGGGTCCCAAAATTGCTTGCCATCGTTTCGTTGCGCGCAACGAGTGTAAATACAATGTGGGCACTGATGTTGTGTCATGCGCCTTCAAGCAGATCAGTTTTGGCATGCACAGTTACAATGCAAAGCGCTGCTAAGAATAAGCCTGTTGAGCCGGATAGCAGCTGCAGGGAGATGCTCTATGGACAGAAGTTGACATGGGGAAATCGTTGCATATCCTGAAGGTGCCCCAGAGGCAGAGACCATGCTCACATATATATATATATATGTATATATATGATATTAAAGGTATATGTATCCTTGTATAGGATCCCCTTTAAGTCTTCATACTCAGCGTCAAATGGGTTACATGCTGCGGCTTAGGAAGTGATCTTGATTCCGGAGTCTGAGCTGCCAGCTGCAGTTGCGCTCCTAGTGCCTAGGTGGGACTTTACTACACCGCTCGCACATCAAAAGCTTTTGGGGTTCTTTTTTCGATGTTAAGAAGGCTAAAGCTCAAACGTGTAGTGGGGGATTTTTAATCAAAGTCCCAAACACCCCCAAAAAGGTTTCTAATTTGTCGGAATCCATACACGGGGGGGTGCATAGTAGCCCCATGAATTAAAGAGTAACCCTAAACCCAGGTGCAAGAGGGCCACGCGCTGTGGCCTACGGGTCGGCTCTCCGCACCGGTATGGCGCGAGGTGGGAGTTAATCGGTTTAGATGTTGGTTTAAGGTTTAGGGTTGAGGGATTCTAGATTTGTATGGCAGTTTCCAACCCAAGGGTTTTGAGTTCCTTTTTGGGGGTTAAGGGTCATAGGTATAGCACATGGGGATTGAAAGTGCGGCCTCCGTTTGCACGGGAAACCCCATACCATCTCTCTTGAAGACCCTTATAATCTGCTCATAATCCCCCTATGTACCTAGGGCCCCTAAGGGCCCCCTTTTTTGAGAAACCTCAAGGTCAGTGCCAGTGATCCAGTCGCAAAGGAGCTGGCGGGTGTCTGGAGCCTTGTGCAAAGAGAGCAGCCTCTGGGCACCACCGTAGCAGAGTTCACGGACGGTGACGGGCCTTTGAGGCTCCAGGCACCCTCTGGGCTCTTTGTCGAGCTCTGTATCCCAAGAAGAAAGGGCCACGATCTGGAAGAGGCGAGCTTCGGTGGCTACTGCCATGTCGAGGCAAACGGCCGCCAGTTGCAATACGTGCAGCAGAGGCGGATCGATTTCCAGCCGCCCCAAGTGCCTCAGTTTCATAGGGGCATCTGTGAACATGGAAACTTCTAAGCTGAGGTGAAGGTTAACCCTTATTCTAGGTGGAAACACCCAGGTGGAGGTGCCATCTTTTGTGGTGACCCCCGGCGACACCTCCATCGAAGTGACGGCCGTCGGCGCCAATGAGTTCCGGGAGCTGTGGGCGCGCGTGGGTGCGGCCGGCACTCAAGAGGCGGGGCACCGGTTTGGGTTCGTATATGCCTTGTCTGGGTTCTAGCATCAAACATCGGCCGCCTCTCATAGCCTCGCCAAGATGACAAGCTCTGGCGGCACTCACAACAATCATATCAATGCAGGGGATTTAAATCCCAATTTTGGGAAGACACTCCCAGGTGGCTTCCATGGAGCTGGTATCTGAGACCCCGCAGAAGGGCAAGGCCGCCCGGTCCCTGGGACCGGATCAACGTTAGGGGTCCTTCATATTGTTGGATCTCTGGGGTCCCTGATATAATGACAAGATAACCCTTTTGTTTGCAAAAGGATGCAAATGTTTAAAACCAGATAGGAGCCACGAACCCGAATGCAGACACGTGTCACGTACATGCAATGATAATGACACCCCACGGGCGAAACCACTTGGGAGACTTAGGTCCGGGGTCATCCCTTTCTCCTCTTTC